ACGTGTGTGTGGTTGTGTCTTTGTCGCATGGTTGGGAGATAGCCCTCGTCAAGGGCAGCAGATTTCCAGATTTTCTTTGGCGCGGGAAGAAAAAAGCGTTTTGATTGTTCAAGACGTTGGACGTTCTCCTCGGGACGCCGCGGTACGACGCACGTGGTGTCTCCTGTGCTCCCCCAGTTCCTGGCTGTCTGCCACTCTACGCCAACCTTGCCCCCGTGGTTCGCCACTCCTCGTCGGCCTCCCCCCTCCCTCCTTGCACGCCGGCCAACTCGCCAGTCAGTGCCCCTACCTAGCTGTTACGCTGGTGCGGATTTCGCCGCCTCGCCGCTTACGAAAAAGCTCAAGACGTTAGAGGTCTGGGTCGCCACCGCCGCGGCCGTCGGGGAGGAGGAGGCGGCGGAGGAGGAGGAGGAGGGGGGGGAGAGAGGAGGAGAGAGGAAGAGGAGGAGGGAGGAGGATGAGGAGGAGGAGGAGGGAATGAGAGGAGGAGGAGGAGGAGGAGGAGGAGGAGGAGGAGGAGGAGGAGGAGGAGGAGGAGGAGGAAGCCCCTCGCCGCCGCCGCCTCGGCCGGCCGCCACGGCCGCGCCCGCAGGCCGCCAACGGCGTGAAGCGCGGCGCGCGCAGGGCGGAGGACGACAACACGCCGGCCGCGGCGTGACGTGCCGCGGTGCTCCGCGGCGGCGGCCGCGCGCGTGGCGCCGCGCCCCTCCGCAGGCAGTGGCGAAACGTCCTGGCCTGCCTGCAGTTACGTCGGGAGTTTCCCTCTACAGGAGGAGTAATCAAGAATACATTGACGATTTTTGAGTATTACTGGATTTTTCTGTGGTCTGCACAAGAGATGTTATCAGATCAATTCTGGCTGAGATGCCGTCTTGTTTTGCTGCATCGGGCCTTTGTTCAGAGAGCGTTGCTTCGGTTAGAAGAGCATTCCCTTGGTCCTCCGTGAAGATCCTATGGGGGTGCCGGGACGGTCGGCCGTTACTCAACCTTCGCCGTTTTGCTGGGCGGGTTCGTGGGTAGAGCACAGATTCCCGCCCTGCTTGTGAAGCTCCGCTGATTTCGATTTCCGGCACTACTGACAGGCGGAAAGTCAGCCAAAGCACGGCGAATCCGAAGTCAGGGCTGTCCGGAGCGGGTGGGCCTTGTTGCTTGCGCCCGAGCTTGATCCAGCGGAGCAGGAAGTCATGAAAACGATGATGCGTTCCCGGTTTCCCCAGGCTGCCAGGATCTCCCAGATTCCCGAGCGGTCCAGACGGGCTCCAGGAACGAGGGCCGCCAGACGCCCTGGAAACCCGGGAACGCATCCTGAGCCGATCGCAGCTTTCGGGGCGGCAGAGAGGGGGGTGATGACCAGGGCTTAGGGGGGGGGGGGACATCATGGCGGGGGCCATGATATTTCCCCAGATTTCATGGCGCCTCTCCTCATTTCATTACGTCCCTGGCCCCTCCGCTGGGCCGCGCACATGCCGCCGGTCATGATTTGCACCCCCCCCCCTCTTGGGCACCCCCCTCTCGGCCGCTCCCGAAGCATGCGCCACTGATCCCCAGATCTTCGACGACAGGACCTTCCAATCCGTGGGCGGTCTTCCCCGACCTCGGCCTCCGCGGCCCGCCTTTAAAGCCCTGGGGCCATCGGCGACGAGGCCGACGCGAAGCGCTACAGTCGGGGCGCTGAAGAAGGAACCCTTCTCGTTGGGGAGCGGCTCCGTGTTCCATGATTCTTTCGCAGCTCGCCTCTGGCTTTCCTCAGGTTCTCGAGGGGAGATCGAACTCGACCCGATGGGAAAGAGGGGCCCCGAGTTCCTTGCGTAGGGTTCCTTGGGTCCACGTCCCGACTGTACCCTCCCCCCCTTCGGGAAGCGGCCGGAAAATCCCCGGGGCCGCGGGCGGAAGCAGAGCGCGTGCGGCGCGTGTCACGTCACGGGGCCCCGCCTGGACGACGGCCCGCAGGGGTCCCCAATGGCGGCCTCCAGAGGCCTCCTCCTCCTCCCTCCTCCCTCCTCCTCCTCCCTCCTCCCCCTCCCTCCTCCTCCCTCCTCCCCTCCTCCCTCCTCCCTCCTCCTCCCTCCTCCTCCTCCTCCTCCTCCTCCTCCTCCTCCTCCTCCTCCTCCTCCTCCTCCTCCTCCTCGACGCAAGGGCGGACGGCGACGACGGCCGCGGCCGCCTCTTTTCGTGCGCGGCCGGGCGCCGGTCGGGGCTCCGCGTGGCCCCTCGCCGGAGTGACCTTTTAGTGCGGGCCGACGGGGGCCCGCCGGCCGCTGAGGGTGCTGCGATCGCATCGGCCTGCGCGCTTGGATTTGGGCCCCCTCTCCTCCCTCCTCCCTCCTCCCTCCTCCCTCCTCCTCCTCCCTCCTCCCTCCCCCTCCCTCCTCCCTCCCCCCCAAAAGCCGCGCACCAGAGGTCGCTCTTACAGTCGGGGCCCTGAAGAAGGAACCCTTTGGGTTGGGGAGGGGCTCCGCGTTCCTCAAGTGTTTCGCAGCTTGCCTCAGGCGTTCCTTCTGTTTTCGATCGGAAATCGAAGTGTAACTTATGAAAAAAGGGGCCTCGTTCCTTATTTTGGGTTCCTTAGGTCAACGCCCCGACTGTACCCAGGGTCACTCGTGCGTCTGGCCGATGGGAGCACCCGACCGCCGCCGGGTTTTGGAACACGGGGTCGCCGCCGAGTCCTGCGACTCCCGGACCCACCAGCCCTCGGGGCCTCCTCGGAAGGCCCCGCGAGTGCCCACGGCGGGTGGTGACACCGAATCGCCCGAGACTCGCCGCCGGGTGTTGTCACCACCACGTTGAAGTCGGGCGTGTCCCTGTACAGGAGGAACATTCAAAAGTATTCAAAAAGTAGTCTGGGGACGATGTTTCTTTATTTTTGATCATTTTGGAATCTTGTTCGATTTTTTTTAACGTCCAAAATCGGCCTGTAGGGGGACATGCCCGACCTAATACCACGTTTGGGGACTGCCAAAGAGACCCCCGCAGGCCCAAGAGGCCCCCCAGGGGGCCCCGTGCAGGCCCTCGGAGGCCCCCCCCCCCCCCCAGGAGGCCCCGAGGAGCCCCGGGTCGGATTCCGCCGCACCCTGGGCGAAACTTGCGGGCGGGGCGGAAATTGCCGCCATGCTTTTCGGGCTCCTCTGATGTCAGGAGGGCAAAGAAGAACACAGACAAAATGAATCGTCGGTTCCCCGGAAAGCATGGGGAAACATGAGAAGTGTGGGGGGGGAAGACACAAACCCAGAAAGTATGGGAACGTGTAGGGAATCCTGTCATCTGTGTCTTTTTATTTGTGTGTCCCAGGGCCCCTTGATGATGTCAGTGTCCGCCGTACTGTGCCGCCGCTGTTTCCGCGATGGTTCTGCGGAACTCCCCGCGCCCCATCTCGTCTGAGGCGCAAGTGTCCGCCTGGGTTCTTCGCACCGTCTGGGGTGCATGTCTGACACAGTTGCAAGTCGGAAGGCCAACCAAAGTACGACAAATCTCGATTAGGGCATCGACTACAGAACCCATTCACCACAAACTTCACTTGCTTCACTTGCGCGTCGACTCTGCAACCACATGCGTAGAATCTTCGTAGACCTCCGAAGATTCTACATGTCCTTTTCGTGGATTCGACGAACAAGTCAACCTTGGGGTAAGTCAGTTCTGGAGTCGATCCCCTACTCACTCCACAGCCGAAGGGCCAGCGGAAGCCCGACGGCCCCCACCTGCCCAGGAGGGTGCAGATTTACGATCCGAGGCCTCTCGCCGAACTATCGGCGGTGTGTCGGCGACTCCGGGCCGATGCCCCCCATCGCAGGCGGGAAGGCCCACGAGAGCGCGGCAGGCCCGAAAAGCCAGGGCGGCACTTGCGGCGGCGAGGAGGAGGAGGAGGAGGAGGAGGAGGAGGAGGAGGAGGAGGAGGAGGAGGATGGAAGGGCCAGGGCCTGCCGCCGCGCCCCCCGGTGCCCCCTCGAGCGGGCCGGAGCCCGTGCTGCGGCCCCTCGACGGGGCCGGGAGCCCGGAGACGGACGACGGCGGGACGCCCTCCCCGCTCCCAGCGTGTCGTCGCTCTCTGGCCCAGGGGCCGCCCGCGGCCTCGGCCTGGGCGGTGCGCCTGGCTCCATGGAGGGCCGATCGCTCCGGGCCACGGGGCCCGGAGGCCTCGGAGGTCCCCCGGAGCCTGGAGGCGGGGGTCCACTGAGATCGGCGGCCCGCTTACTAAGTGGTTAGACCACTTCTAAGTGGTTAGCCGCCCACTTAGGCCACTCAGCCTAAGCAGGTTCTGAGTACTTAGTCTAAGTAGGTTAGCAAGGACTTAGCCTAAGTAGGCTAAGTGGGTTAGCGCCCCAACTTAAGTACTCAGCCTGAGTCGGCTAAGGGGGCCAGGGGAGACAACATAAGGGGCTGGGCGCGGAGTTAGAAGCCCGCTCGCAGAGTTTATCTACCCCCACGGGTTATCCCGACCGCGGGCCGCCGATCTCAGTAAGGGGAGGAGGCGGAAGAAGACGAGGGGGAGCAGCGCGAGGAGGAGGAGGAGCAGGAGGAGCAAGAGGGGTCGAGAAGGGAAGAGGAGGAGGAGGAGGAGGAGGAGAAGGAGGAGGAGGAGGAGGAGGCGGAGGCAGAGGAGGAGGAGTTGGAAGGGAGGAAAAGGCAGAGGGGGCAGGCGGCAAACGGCCGAAAGGCTTCCTTGAATTGGCAAACTTTACCATCGAACTCCCACGCATCACTGTCCGTGCCTCAACCTCGCAGGTATGATCACCTGCGCCACTGAGCCTTTGGAAGCAACCCCAGCTATACAAGGCTCAATGAGGCACTCGGTCGGCAACAAACGAGGGGCATTGTTGACACGGCAGCACACGATGTGACACTTGGTGTCCGAGACATCCCAAGGCGAGATGCATGAGAAAAGGTCACCGTCCACTTTCGAGTGGAACCACAAGCGGCCAAAAGAGACAAGGCTGTCGTTGCTACCATTGTAGCACACAACATCATTCATCTGGATCACACGGCCATGCACATATGCAGCGCGCCCTGACACCACCTCGGCGCCTGGTCGGACATGCATGACAGAGCAGATGGCCTGCAGCATCTTCTTGCTCGCGGGCCTAGGCTCGAGAAGGTCTATGCCCTCGAGCTCGTACTTGAGCTCGAAAAGGTGCTGGCACGTGATCTCTTCGATCAAGCTGCGCTCGAATGATGTAGTGTTCATGCGCTCGTTTGCGAACCTCTTAGGCGTGCGGTGCTTACGTTCCATGAGGAACGTCGAAAGTAAGAGGCCGTGCCGATGCAATTGCGACGGCAGGTGCATGTTAAAATGGCTCTTCGGCTTCCAGAGCTTTGTGCCCCAGTAGGCCTGCTGAGCTGTGTAGTGGGCTACGATCGCATTCATCAACTGTGCAGGCGTGACCACTCCTGCGTTGACAATCGAGAGCAGGTCGAGCACATTGCAAAGCTTCACCATGCTATCCACTGCACCATTGAACCTCGGAGCTTTCTTGAGCACCACGTCCAGCATGTACTTCCTGATCACGGGGGCGGCTGACATGTACTCGCTGGCGCTGCCAGACGCCTCATGTGAAGGGACCTTCTTACACAGACCATTCCCGCTCGCGTAGCCGCCTGGCCACTCCCAAAGTTTGAAGTACTCGTGCAGTGTTGCGCCTCCGAGGTTCTCTGCCGCGAGCAAGTCCAGCACGGCATCCAGCTCGACGAGAACACTCCGCCCACGAGGTAGTTGTGCATCCAGTCGTACGCCCAGACGTCCGCGACCTGGATCGCGAGATCCTTGTCCTGCAGCAGGGACTCGGGGTTGAACTTGTAGCCCAGCAGCGTCTCGAGCTCCTTGCGAGCAGTCGTGCCCCGCGTCGCCTCCTCCTCGACCAGCCTGTCTTGGACGCCTCGGATGCTGGCGTTCGAGTGGAGCTTGAACTTGGAGGCATCTAGCTCCGTGCTCGGCACCGCGTAGCCAGTCCTGTCGCTCTTGGCCAGGTTGCACTTGAACGATACCACGTTCTGGCAGAGGGCGCACAGTTTTATCCCCGTCGCGCCCATGACCTCCATGCTAAATTTGAAAGCTCTTTCGTCCTGTAGAATGACGGCCAGAGAGCCCCGCAAAATGCGAGGCATCGCCTCTCCGAAGATATTGAGCTCGACCCCTACGCGCAGGTCGGGCTGGAGAGGCGCACCGAAGAACACCTTCAGCACGATGCGGAAGAGCTGCGACATCCCGCCCTTGAGCCGAAGGACGAGGTCACTCCTGCACACGCAGGCCGTCATCCATGCTTGCTCGTTGCACAAGGTGGGGAACTGGAAATCCAAAATGGACCAGTAGATCGCCTCCAGCTTTCGGCCGTTCACCTCCTTGAGTGGGTTGCCAGGGGTGATCTCGTCGCTGTACGCCGCAATCCTGATCGTGTTTCCAGTTCGGTCCAGAACACGGGTGATCAGCCTGCGAAAGGGCTCGCTCCTCTTGCAGGCCGCCTCGATGAAGCCGAACGGGTGCTGGACCCAGACGTGCTCGAGGCCCTCGTCGGTCTCGACCTCGATGCGCTGGCACAGCGGTCCGAAGGTCGTCTGCTGGTAGGCCTCCTTCTGACGGTGCCTCTGCTGGGTCCGCGAGCTGAAGGCCTCTGGCAGATCCTCATCGGACAGCTGCTTCAGGAGGCCCTCCAGGGCAGCATGGCTGATGTGATGGTCCCGCCCGAGGTCTAACAAGCGAGCACGCTTCCGCTCGCTCATATCCAACTCTGTCGAATCGGCCTGAGCAAAAACAGCTACGGAGGAGGATAGGAGGAGGGTGGAAGCCTGTGATTTTAGCCGGCTTTCCTGGGTGGTCGGTTTTTGGATTCTGGATTTTGGGCGTTCGTTTTCCCCGGCCTTTTTGATGGTTTTGGCTTTCGTTGTTGTTGGATTTGTTATGCTTTCTGTCGGTGATCCTCGTCGCCACGGCTGCATTGGCCTCGACATCCTCTCTGTGGTCGGAACGTGCCCCAGGTCCTGCACGCTGGCCTCCGTTTGTTTTGTTTTGGGCGGTGGCGGTGACGATAAGTTTCATGATGATGAGCGCGTAATGATACATGCTACTGGTGGTTGTGATGGTGGTGATGATGGCGGTAGCGACGATGCTTCATCATCGCTCGCTTTCTCTAAGAGGTCTGCGCTCACCTCTGCGAGTCCCTACATATCTTTAGCAGCCAAAAGCGTACAGATGCTGCAACTAGTTGTGTGTCAGTATACCCGCGGTTCCACCTACCAGCTCTAGCACCTAACCCTCATGGTGCCGTTTCTCGGAGCTGATCCGACAGAGCGAAGGTAGCAGACAGACTTTAAACGTGCGAGAGTGCCCGAGCGCAGTGGGGAACCCTACTTCTTCCCGTGCTTCTGGTGCACCAGCTTGGCCTTGTGGTACGCCTCCTTGGCGATCGCCCTGCTGTCGACGTCGCTCTTCCCAGCTGCGACCGCCATCCTCTTTGCCGCATCGTACGCGCGGCTCGTGAAGGAGTTCTCGTTGCGGGTCTTGGCGTCGGCAGGCTTCAACCAGGTAGAGTAGTCGATCGTGTGGCCGACGGGCTTGAGAAGGGGCTTGGCCTTGGCTTTCGCCTTGGCCTTAGCCTTGCCCTTGCCCTTGCCCATTGCCTTGCCCTTCGCCTTCGCCTTACCCTTCCCCGTCTTGGCCGAGCCCGCAGCGGCCACGATCTGCTGCTCGAAGTCCTCGACCTCGTCACTGCCAGCAGCTCCGACGACGTGCGCTGCCTGCTCTGGACTCGTCGCAGCCGTCGGAGTCGACGGAGGCGTCGGCGTCCCCGACGCGAGCGGAGGAGGGGAGTCGGTTGGCTGCGACTCTCCTGAAACGCCAGCGTTGCCGAACGCCATGGTGCTCGGGCGCGGCGCCACTGTGTTCTGCGGCCTGCTGTTGTACGTGATGTTGCAGCCCACACCGCCGCCAGCTCCGCCAGCGCCGAACATGTTGGGCATGCCTGGGGCGCCCACCTGGCCGTACGCCTGGGCCGCGAGCATCATGAGGATCTGGAGCGGGTCGTGCTGAGCGAACTGCGGACGCGTTGGCGCGGCCAGAGGCGCAGGGCCGTGCTGGCCAGCCGAGGCACCGCCAGCCGAGACACTACCGCCGAGCTGCCTGCTCGAGCGCCTGTAGCACATCGCCTGCACATCCACCTCCAGGTTGTCGAGCTCGGAAGGGGGCGCGACAGGGCGCTCGTCGTCGTAGGCGTAGTTGTAGATCATGTCCGAGCCCAGCTGGTCTGGCACACTCGGGTAGACCTCGATGTGCGTGTAGGGCCAGGGCTTCACGGTGTCGAGGTGCCTCAGCCGCGTCTGGAGGTCCTGGCACATGGTCCTCTTGGCCAGCGCCGACGGCGGCGTCTGCCTGAAGGACTGGTGGCAGGAGATGACGATAGCGACGGCCCTCATGAGCAGCTTCTCGCTGGCGCAGGAGATGCCCAGCTTGTGCATCCTGTTGGCCACGATCTGGATCTTCATGACCTCGGAGTGGTCCTGGCTGGTGATCCCCTGCCAGTCGGTGGCCGTGAAGAAGTGCTGCAGCCGATGGCACTTCTGCTGGGGGCGCCCCGTGCCGCCACCAGCGCGCGCGACGCCCGAAGCTGCCTGGGCCCTCTGGTTCAGCGCCGTGGCCATGGAGATCTTCTGCTGCTGCGTCCAAGGCCCGTTCGAGATCTCCTCAGTGACAGCCGTGGCAACGGTGAGGTCGATCCCAGGAGCCACCGAGAAGGTCGCGCACAGGGCGTTGACCTGCGCCTGGGCCAGGAGATTGCGATCCAGGCCCGCATGGGCCTGGGCGTTCACGAACTGGACGCGCTCGCGCAGCATCCCGATCAGGCGCTGAGTATGGAAGGTAGATTCGGCCATGCTGGTGTGAGGAGGAAGACTTAGATGCGTCAGCACGTGAAAGCACAGAAAAAGATAGCCGAGCTACTTGAGCCCAAATGGCTACGGAGGAGGCGGAGGAAGGAGGGAGGAGGAGGGAGGCATGGGGGATCAGAACATGCGAGCTAAAGGCCTCGCCTCTGCGTCCGAGTCTGAGCTCGAGCGAGTTCTTGATTGGGTTTTGGAGCTAGCTTGGGTCTCTGAGGTCTTTGGGGGAGGATGCACCAGCAACAGGCACCCTCTCCTCCTCCTCCCCCTCCTCTGCCCTCCTCCCTCCTCTTCTCCCCTCCTCCTGCCCTTCCTCATCCCCTCCTCCTCCATCTCCCTCCCCTCCCATCTCCTCCGTCCCTGTCGCTGATGCTCCTCCTGATACCGCTGACCGAGTCCAGCGTGGCGATGAGGGATGCCTCCAAGAGCCTCCGAAAACGAGCGGGGGTCCCCACCAAGACGGGTGAATCTGGGATCGCCGACCGCGGCGCCCGAGTCCGGACTCGCCCTGGCCAGTTCGCCCCGTCGGCGCGACCTTCCCCTGGGCAGTTCGATCGTTCGGGCTCAACTCTGCTGGGGGGGTAACCGCGTGTGAGGCGAACTGCTGGTGAGGAGTTGGGGTCTAAACCCTGTGACTGTCGCACACCTGGGTCAATCAGTTTTAACATAATGCCCCAACTCCTCCAGCAGCGTTGGGCCCGATCGATCGAACTGCCCAGGGGAGATTTGCACCAATGGTGCGAACTGCTTCTGAGCAGTTCGCCTCGCAGAAGGGCCCAGGAACGTTGCGCCCCTCGGACGCGACAACGACGGCCGAGAGCACCAGAGATGATGGCCACGTAAGCCCAGGGCTCCTCCATTTCGGCGTGATGGCATCGATGATGACGTGATGCTGGCTGTTTTGTTTCACGCGCAACTTGTGGCTAAAGCCACGGGATGAGTACATGTAGCATTGCTACCAGGGTTGTCTTACACAACGTGCGAGCAGCTAAACGAGGATTGAGAGACTGCTGATGCCTGATAACACGAGTCCGAAACCAATCTACCAGCACACATCTGGCTTTGCCCAGATGTGGCCACAGCGTGACTGCAGCATGCCCACATCAAATGCAGGTCACGCTTGGAATTCAGACCAACGGCAAAACAGGCCGAGCACCGCCGCGACGCAATCACTCTTCGGGCTCCGTGTGGTGCTGCTCCCTGAAGGCGGCCAGCACCCTTGCCATGCCCATCGCTCTGTCCTGCAAGTTGGGGCCGACCTCCACGGCCATCGACTTCGTGCGCCACGAACCCCTATTGGAATCGAAGTAGCGCGTCTTCACTGCGCTCTTGGTGCGGACCCACTCGATATGCTCGACGTCGATGACGGGGTCGGGCTGGATCTTCTCCTCAGCGTCTGGCTCTTCCTGCAGAAGCGAGAGGGCCTCTGGGGTGAACTCGATCGCCAGCTTCGCTCGCTTGAGCGCGGCCGTTATGACCCAGACCGTGTACTCGACGCCCTTCACTGTGGCCGTGACCAAGACGGCGCGAGGAATGCTGTCGACCGCCTCCTTGCGAGGCCTCTTGGCAGCTGGTGCCCCGTCGACGTCGTCGACCGTCGGGGCCTGCTGCTGCTCGGCACGGGCAGCCTCGGCCAAGAGGGAGTCGACCGCCTTGTTGCGCTCTGCAGTCAAGTGGCTCAGCATGTCGAACTTATCGGAGACCAGCTTGCAGAATCTGGAGTCCTGCTTGTCAGTGACGACATACTTGCGGCCGTCGACCTCGAGCACCTCGGCGAACCATCCCGCTGCTGTAGTGCAGCGCTCCTCGCGGAGGGCGATGCACGCGAAGCCAGTCTTTATGAAGACGGGCATTGTCGAAACTGTCACAGGATGTGACGGACACGGCAGGCTGCAAGATGCTTGGGCCAAAACGGCTATGATGGAGTGATTGGTGGTGGTGCCTCGTGTGTTTGCCTTGGTGCCGTTGTTGATGATGTGTTCGTGATGGTATTGTTTAGTCTGGTGCGTGGAGGACTGCGATTTTAGCCGGCTTTTCTGGGGGGTCGGTTTTTGGATTTTGGATTTCGGGCGTTGGCCTCACCAGTCAATTTTGAGTTTTTTTGACGGTTTTGAGTTTTGGGCGTTTGTTCCACACGGCTGTTTTGAGGTTGGATGTTGTTTTGTTTTTGCTGTCGGTGGTATTCGTCGCCACGGCCGCATTCGCCTGTATACATGTGTCAGAACCCGCTCGAGGACATACTCGGGGTCGGCCTTGCATTTTTTATGGCGATCCTCCCCGCGACGCTGCGGGAGCAGGCAGATGAGGGCGACCGTTCGGGACGATTCGGGCACACCTAGAAAGCTCTCGGTGAGGCGTATGCAGGAAGGCATCCCCTCCCTTGGTCCGAGTTGCGATCCAATGTTTCCTTCTGGGGGTCGGCGGAATGGCGCGCAAGCCTTATATAGAGATACCCGAGACACCTTTTCACGCGAAAGAGCTCGAGCGTTGCCCGTACACGGGCGTCGTACATCTTTAGTGGTCGCCGTGGCCAGCGAAACGAACACTTGCGAACTGTAAAATGTTCGGCACAGCAACTGAAGCTCGATTCTGCATATTATACGGCAAGTGCATGCTATGCTGTGCCATGACGCACATGGCGGGCGCCGTCTCCTTACTGCTGCGATCCATCCTGCTAATCCTCCTCCTCTAGTGCCCTCATCCTCCTCCCTCGCCCTCATCCTGTCACTAGCGCTCTGCAGCTACATGCACACCCACAGCCTAGCAGAAGAGCTGTTAGCAAGCAGTGGCTCTGAGCTAAGAGTGCTTCGACGCCTTCGGCGACTGCTGGGATGGGGCCTTGAACGAAA